CTGTTGTTGGTCCATCCTGACAGATGACAGCTGTGACAGCTAGTGGAATCCCGGAAAATAAACCGTGGAACTTTGACCAATGAGAGAACAGTTTACTCGCGCGTGACTTGTATTAACAAATTTGGTCCGTTTAGAAACATTGCCGTGTGAAAGCGAACCGCACCGAGAATAAAAAGCAACATTGTAATCATTTGAATCCCTGTTTCGGAACAAAGCAATCGATCTACAGGTGTGAAAGCACCCTTAGTCACCCTTGGAACCTTGTTCCAAACCTGTATTAGTTTCTTTCTTCTGTAGAAAACTAAATAAGGTATTTTGAACCAATATACCTTGTATATTGGTATAGTAGTATAGTAGCTGCCAACTGTTTGGAACAACCTGAAGCTGAGTAAATGATGACAGAATTTTCATTTTAGGGTGAACTATGACTTTAAAGGGGTCCTATTATGCTCTTTTACAAAGTCTTGATTTTGTTTTGGGGGTGTACTAGAACAGGCTCTCATACTAGGTTGTTCGAAAAACACATTATTTTTCAAGTCAGCCCGGTTACCGCTGGTGGACCACCTTGGCTAAACTTGTGGAGATCCATGGTCTAACTAGCAACAAACCAGCTTGACCACCTTAAGCTGGAATGGCCTGTATTTCCAGCTCTTTAGAAACTTTTTTATTCAAATTTGAATGGCTGAGGACAGCAAACTGCTAAGAAAACCAGCTGTCCAAGACAAAAGACAGAGGAGACGAGGTCACCAGGTCACCATGTAGTGGCAAACTGACAGATTAACATCTTATACTTTCTGTTGGTTTTTGCTGAATTAGTCTGCCAATTTTTACATTTTTCTGAAGTTGTTTGACTATTCCCAAAGTCACTGCAAAAGGTGCTACCTTTTGTTCGGTCTCAGCTGGATGGCGTGTAGATCAAGTCTTTGATAATGCTAATGATGCACTTTTGAACCTTTGTGTTTGCTCTAATCAAGCTGAGAGGTCCATGTGCAAATCATTATGGGACTAGTTTCCAACCCTTTGAGGGTTTGCCAAGGCATACAGGAGTTCCCTGCCTCCTGCTGCGAAAGGATACCTTTCCCTGACTCGCATTTTCCATGCTATCCCAACAACACCTCAGAATCTCCAAAACACGTTTACTGTTCCTCAATCTCTGATTCACACACATAACTGAAGGCTTTGTTTGAGAAATCTGTCCCTGGCTGGTAGCCATAAAGTTTCACAGGCCTGAAGGCTACGGCGCTGTAACTACCATTACGACGCAGGAACAAAGACATACAGTGTTCAGTAATCAGGGGCAGCTCACACTGCCTCATGACTTCACCAAAAAAAGAGTCTATTAATTCAGGGAAACTATGATGGAAATCCTAGAGGTGAACATGCAATGCTGGTTTCTTTGATAGCCCTTGGTGATATCAGAGTGTTCATAAATGGGACAGATTTTGGGTAGGATCTAGTTTTGATAAAAGTTCACAGGAATGAGAAGCTGCAGAAAGACGGTTATGTGATCAAAGCATAATGGAGTCACCTGAGGCTCATCTGTGTTTTCACTGAACCAGCAGCAACTGTGATCTAACAGAAACACAGCAGGGACTGGTAAAACACTAATAATAAGAAAGCACTAGCGGCTTACAGCTTATTTTTCCAACTTCTCTGGTTTCACTAACCGCACATTGCAACAGAAGTGTGTCGATAGAAAGATAGCACTTCCTATTAGGAATCAGTTATTATGACTTCCAAAGTAAATGTATTTACTTTCGAGATTAACTGAATATGTTTAACACTGTGAAATGCATTTAGTGTACTGAAGGTACAGTAATGCATTTAGGTGATTTTCAAATGCACATTTGCAAATTTACAAATGCACAAGACTTATGCTTATAAAGTTTATTTTTTAGGTTAAAATTTTTTTTTTTAGAATTTTGAATAAATTGTTTCAGTGGTCATACAGTGTCAAATGTTGTTGTAAAAAAAAAAATCCCATAGCTTCTCATTTTTAATATGAGGTCATGAAAACTGCAAGCACAATAATTATAATACAATTTGGAAAAAATTTTAAAATAGTTCCAGATGTTATACCATTTCAATGTATTATTAAGCTGTTTTGACAGTTTCCAACTGTTAAGGCTCACATATGCTACAAAGTAGTATAACTTTTAACTTATTTCATGCTTATTAATGCTAACAATATCTTTCAGTTATGTTGAGATGTCACAGCACAGGAATTTACAAACGAACACAGAAGTAGTTTCACGTTAACATTATAATTTGAAAAATGCATTTACATTTGTGCCTTTTTACATTTTTGTGACAATATGTACTTTCATGATTAGTTTTTTTTTGGCCTGATTAAATACATTTTTATTGCATTTCTACTGGTACTGTTCATTATACATTTCTGTATTTCAAAACTGTATTATGGTGAAATCCCATCCAGAGTTTTCTACTGCTTTCTTTTCTTTTGCATATTAGATGTGCAATCTCTCTCTCTCTCTCTCTCTCTCTCTGTTCGTTTTTGGCTGCCACTACTTTCACCCGTTCACAGACTTTTCCATTGCTTACTCTAATCTCAGATACACATTCATCTAGCTGTCACTAAATGAAATACTTACATTTTCCATCTATTTAAATAAATTAAAGATGACAAGTGCAGACTAGCAGTTTCAAAAACAGAAATAAACAAAAACGCAAACACTAATTTTAGAGTGTTTGCATCCACATCAGAGGGCCCCAGTAAATGTCTACGGGTCCACAAAATGATTATAAAACATTAACCCCTGGTTTCAGAGACTAGGCTTAAGCCTAGTACCAGACTAAAATGTTTCAACTGAAAGAAACTTGCACTGATTGGTCTTAAAATATGTCAGTGCCCTTGTTTTGACTCAAGATGCACACCAGTAATGATTTTTTTTTTCCTAAGGTACGTTTATAAAAATTGCTTAAATGTCCTAATTGAACCATGGCCTAATCCTGGCTTAGTCTGAGCCCTGTCTGTGAAACCAGGCATTGACATCTCGTTAACGCATTTTTTATTTGTCCCATCAACAATAGAAGTTATTTTTACATACAATTATTAAAACATCTGAAATCTGTTTCAAAACACACACACAAACACACACACAACATGAGGGGCCTTTGAACATTGTCTTGGATACACAAGACACAAAACTCCATTTAGTTTCCTGAGTTATGAAAGAGAGAGCAACGTCTGAGCAATACAATTTTCCTCTAAGAAGGTATACTCATATGAGAGGGCCGGGCTGCACTGGGACGCACGTGTTTACAGTTACACCTCTGAGTGTCTCTGCTGTCCTGCACTGAACTGCTTCATGACACTGGATGGCTGCAGGAAATTATGGTAATTTGGGACCTGGAAAAACCAACAACCACGCCACAGGACTGGGATCACAACATACCTGCCTTACAAAACACGCATACCACAGTTAAAAAAAGCCTCTAGACATTAGGGCAGACATACTGCTCTAGTGAGGCCCGGTCCACTCAACAACCATCTAACCCATAAACCTTCAGTTCATTATGAAGCTGCTAATTTTGCTTAAAGTGGAGCTTTTTAATTAGTTCTGCATATCTGCATTCAGCCATCATCCTAAAAAGACGTATTCCAGCTATACCTT